ACGCCTAACAGATAATATCAAATAATATAATAATAATAATATGAGCTGGGGCATGAGCCAGCAACGCGAGAGATCGATCGATCGTGTGCAGTAGATAAACCTACACCACAACGGTCTACATCCGTTTCCAGCCGACCTGGAGCAAAAATATCGGTACGATCGATGGAAATCGATATAATAATAACAACAATAATTACCTATAGTAATAATAATCATAATAATCATAATCGTAGTGTATAATACTCGTTGATCGAGTGCAAATCCGGAGTTTTGAAACTTCAAAAACTATTGACGGAGGCACGGTGTGCGCACTGCGCGCAACAGTGATTAACGTCTGTAGTTGCAGCGTGCGATACGGACCAACGCGGTTAATGAAACGCTCTAGGATTGCAAAATTCGATGGATTAATATTTTCATAGAAGTCTGTTGATTAAACTATTAAACTGTGAGGAATGCAAGTACATACGGATGATACGTAATATGTAATATTTTTATGAAATCGTAGCCAACAAAAATATTTTTTATGTACGTTTATTATTTTATGCGAGCATTGCATAGGAGGTATTATAACTTATATCGGTCGAAAACCGAATGCACATTATATATCGAACGTATAGGTATTTGACGTATTTGACAAAACGATAAGAATTTTTTTTTTTTATCAGAAAACTCGTTTTTCTTGTGCCGCAATGTTGTTCTCAAATCTAAACACATCATCCGTTACTGCGCATCTGCAACAGTGACCCATATCCGATTACAACTACAACACTGCTGAGGAATCTCACTTTTTAGTCTTATTACAGCAGCATGAGTCATGACGTTATATTACCGTGATAATTGTCATAGTTTGGAATTATTAAAGGTATTTTCTTAATCTCAGACATCAGGTTTTTTTCTTTATTCAGATAGGTTCAATATTATTATATTATTCGTGTGATGTATTTTGAATTGGTATTTTCGTATACAGATAGGTAGTGAAATTATGTAATAACGATAATATTACATTATTATGTAATTAAGATGCGTTCGACATTTCAATCCAATACTACAATCTTCGTAACGACTTGCAATGATAAAATCCACATAACATAACACTAACACATTCATAATAATATAGTACTCTTGTAATCCTGAGAGGCTAGCCGCGATGATTACTGGTTGGCATATCGACATACATAATATTATACCGATAGGTTTCGTCCTTAAGGTACAATAGGTAAATTCTAAAAAAACTGTTTTTGAATATGTTTTTTAAATATAAACAAACTTACACGCGTATATAATAATGGTAGGTATCTCATTTAATCATGCCGTTGCGCAATAATATTTCTCAACTGCTTGCGGTTTTTCGACGGAAATCAGATGTGTGTAAAAGTCAATCGCTCCTTCACCCTATAAATATCATTAAAAGCATGCAGCCATAACACAATGATGTTCATATATGTTTCAAGAATAGAATTAATAGATTAATTGTATTACCATTTTAGAAAAAAGAATAAATAGGTACTTATTGTGTTTTGTTTATACACTTTGAATGAATAAAAACGATTTACTTATCTATTGTATTAAACCGACAACTTACAAAACGTAGTGATGTGATCTATTCCATGTAGCCTATAATCATTATTTAGAAGTTCAAACTTTTTTAAAAATATTTTTTTCACATAATGTTATGTGATTTCTAAACAAAAATATTTTTGAAATTTTTTATAATTATAATTTTTTGATAAAGACAAATCATTAAACAACAAGTTCATTTATTTTATGTGCTAGGGAAAAAAATCTGAAAACTAGCAACGACTTGAAAATTGTTTTTATGGAGTTGTCAATATTATAATAGAAATTAAATAAGACCGGTTTCGAACAAGTGGGTCGAAAAAGATGATGGGTTACGGGGAAGTTATCTTATCCTTCTTAATTTTTGTTCTATACCTACTTGAAAATAATGGCTTTCGAATTTGAAAACCTAACTTGCAAATGTTTGGTACCTAATTATTTGATGAATGTAGCAAATACCTATGTATGCGGGTTAGATTGATTTGAGAGAAAGTGGTTGGGTCAACTTCGCGATCATCAATAACTAATTAAGTAACTAAAACTCATTCGAAATTCAATCTATATATATTTTTAAGTAGATGCTCCAAAAAATATTTTGCTTGGATAAACTAAATTAAAATTTATGTTGTCTTTTGAAAAAAAAAAAACTTTAAAAAAGATAAAAAGATGCGTGACAGTAAAAAATAGTAAAAAATAAACTTTTTTCAAATAGTTTGTTTCTCAATGACATTACTATGTGTAAATAAAATATTTTCAGTACATTTTAACATTTCGAAAAATGAGTATAATATATAGCCACTTAAATGGATCATATTTTATATTATAATATGTAGGTACCTATATTGTACACATGAATATGTACCTAACTTACCTATATTATTAGAATACAGTGGTTTCGTCGTTTATTAAAAACAAATAGACTTTAAACATATAGTAAACTATTACATTTCGAATAGGTTTTAATCATTCTAATTTGTCAAGATAAATTTAATATTCTTATATACAAAACACTATGCTAGAAACCATACATTTTTGTTTATATTTAGATGTACATACTGAAAATGTAAAACATCTTCATGAGCAAAATATATAAATATTTAAATTATATGATTTTTAATAAAAAAAATAAAAACAAATACATTTTAACTCAATAATCATATTACACGTGCAGCACACAGTTAGTCCCTGCAAGCCTGTTAAAATAAGATGGAAAATGCATTTGTAAAGTATTTACAAAACACATTATAGCACAATATTAAGGTTTAAGTTCATACAGTTAATCCTGACATACGTAGGTAACAACCAACAATATTTTAAAATTGTAGGTACACTCAAACTCATTGTAATTTCACCCAAACGCAAACCATCAATAATGCATTGTACCTACAATGCTAAATAGTTACTATGCATAATGCACGTATCTACTAAGTACATTGTATTTTACATAATGAGGAAATATAATAATTTCTTTATCGTTTAAATGCAGGTACCTACCTATAATGTAAGATTAAACAAAAATCATAGGACAGAAAATTTAACCTCCATTATTGTATTTTATATTACAATTAGAGATAGGATGTTAATGACTTTCGCATTTTTTTTTCTTTAATTCTTCACAATGCTAACTAAGCTTCAAATACGTTTCATGCTTCATTTATTCAGAATAATATATAAATTTTATTTAGCTTTTTTTTTTTGCATTTTAGGTAATTTTTAGCTATTAATCCGTTTATATATTTTTGAGACAATATGCATTTTATGAATTTTGTATTGTGTAATTTTTTGTAATGATTGTAAATTGTAGGTTAATGTTCTCGCATTTTAAATTTAAAAAAAAATAATTTTAAATCTTTAAAAATATTTGTATTGTTATTGAAGGTTTTCAGCAACACATTAGTCTAGATTAGATCGTGGAATTCAACGAAAACTGAATCAATTGAAACAACATAATCAAGTTCTATAATTGCCTAACCCAACAAATAATACCGATCAATTGTAATTTAATTGAATGCTATGTGAAACTTTATTAGCCGCTAATATGGCGCTTACTAAATTAAATAAGATATATTAAGGCGTATACGTTTCTTTGGACAAAATATAAAATGTATGTTGAAAAATGCTATTTTAATACAATACCTATGTAGTATAAGACGTATTTTACATGCTTGATAAAATATTTAGGTTAGTATAGATTTAATATATTCTACATACACAAATATATGATATACAAATAATTATTATTATTTTAAAATTAAAAATTGTCCACTTATTTAAAGTAATTTTTTTAAACTTATTGTTTAGAGCTTTTATGATTGTATTTTTTTGTGTTTTTTATGTTATCAATATTCTATCTCTATTTATAAGTTCTGACACATATTATATAAAAAACAAAAGTATAAGATAAATAATTTGATTACTTTTGTAATCATTTAGCGTTTTTTGTATACTTGTTATTGTTATAATATAACACGAAATTAAAATCTTTTAGATAACAGAATAATACAATATTTTATTAAAATGTATTGTTCTTTGTACAGATAGGTGCCTTGCGCCTATATCTATAATGTGTAACAAATTACCTCGTCAGTCGAAGAAAAATTCAAATCGATTTTTTTAAATTTCACCCAATTTGAAAACCAGAAGCGAAAAAAAGGTTTATGAAAACCGTTCTCGCGATATTACCATAACGACTTGGGCATCGATTCTCGGAATCAAATAACAATAATATTGGTAGGTAATAATTTAAACTCTATATTTTAGGCATAGGTGTATAGAAATCGACCATCGATAATCAACCGGTGTTTACTGCGCGTATCACAATGCAGCAGGGTTCCTATATAATATTATAATACTAATATTATGATACATATTTTTATAATATTATGCACGACAGAGAATTGCGCATGGAAACGAAAACGAGTTTATGCTATTTCCTGACGGTTTTATTTTATTTTTATTTTTTCAATTTACTTTTACGGAATAGAAAAATACCTAAGACGCACAACGAGACTATCGTTGCAATAATATTATAATAAACGTCGGGCTACCGCTACGTCACTGCGAGACCACAAGAACTCCGCGAGCGTGTCCTCTTAGACGGATATGGAGGGGACGTCCAGATGAACACGTTAACGATGACTGAGGCCGTCGCCCAAGTTACCTGGTTAGGTAGCTATAATGATGTAGTCTCCTCGTGCGTGCGACTGGCGCAGGTTCACTCGATAGGTAAAATAATATTATTATTTTTCGTGTGAAACAGTGCGTTTGGTGCGTCTATATTATATCACAGTTGTTGTATTTGGCGGGCTCGTTCGATGTTTGCGCGTTTCTCGTCGTCAATCGTAACACGTTAATATATTATCGTAAACGTTGTTGTATTGTTGAAGGTACGCACGACGTTTGACCATTGACATGTAACAGGATATTATACAAAGGTCGACAATATGAAAGCTGACGTGAGTAAAACTGAATTCAATGTAATATGTAAAAATGTATACCAAATAATAGTCAACACTGTATGACCCCAAATGTATATAATCTGAACATTATATTAATATTATATTGATGTATAAATCCGATGAATAATATTTTTTTATTTATATTATTATAAATACATAACCAAGCTATTTTGCGAATTAGGTGTCCATAGCAAGATTTAGTGAGAGTTTTAAGGAGCGGAAATCTTAACTGACTCAGCACATGTTTTCCTAATAATAAATTAAACTAATCAAAAATTCTTTTTTTTCTTGTCAATTGAATAAAAGTTAATATCAAAAAAAATAGTCAAAAGTATCAAAAGTATTATAAAGAAATATATTTGAGTGTTCGAAAAAGTGTTCAAAGGCTCGTTTAATTCTATCCCGAAAAAAGTCTATACATATAGGTTATATCTAATATCCGTCGGTGCCAACACCATGTGGACATGGGTACTATATATCAAAATAATATAGGTAGAATCTATATTATCTCAACTGAATTTGAACGACTATAGACGATTTCTTTAGTCTATAAAAAATCACTATAAACATGTATGTAATATTATTATAAATTTGGTAAAACCGATAACATCGTATGCAGATGTATAATATTATAAATTAAGTATAATTTACATGATAGGTATTTTTCAATAATATGAACGTTTCATGTTTAAACATATTGAACTAAATATTTTTACTTTTGGAGGTCACGGGCAGACAGGTATAATATTATAATTGTACGTAGGTAGGTACACACCGAATAAGACAAAGTTCCGTCAATAAAAATAAAATTTTTCATAATATACACGAAACAAATTCAAAAAACAAAAAAAAAAGACGTTAAGTCCACTACTCACGCAATTTTCTCAGTGTATAAATTTGTTGTCGTGTTAATGTGTGTTGTCCGCGTATATTATCGTTGTTTTTTAATGAAACTGTTCTACAGACTTCACAACTCAATTATTTAAATTTGTTTTATATATACCTAAATGCATTTAAAAAAAGGCTTATCATTTTAGTATTGATGCATAAATATAATAAAATGTATAATAATTGTAAAGTTAATATTCTACTATACTTTTCAGTTATAGGTTAAGTATCCAAGTATCTTTGCATCACAAAATAATACTAAAATGGTATAATATGATGAAGTAAATAAAATAGCAATATGGGTGATCATATTTTTACGTGTCGTAAATTTATCATTGATTATCGAACTTTTATTCCGCTTGTAATAATAATTATAACTTATAAGGTCATTTACAAATTACGGTTAAGTATTTTTATTAAACAACTACACTCAACTACAGTAAAATATTTATAATTTAACATACATTTTTATCGGAACTATAAGACAACACGTACCTTCATAATATGTATTGACTTAATACATTTTACAATATCTAGCCTATTGTTGTTAAGTGCAATTTACAAATGCCTTTAATCTTGTTATCTTGTACTGAAATTAAAATGGAATTTAGAATATTTTAAATTACATACCTACCAAGACTAACAAAAATAATTGTTATATAACCTTATGCTGTGTATAACCTAATTGTTACAAACCTCCTTTTTATATGTATTAATAACAATTTGTTTTTATATTATTGAATATTTATCAGTAAGACTTAAATTGTATATGAACAGGATTAAAATAAAAATAATATTTGGGGTATTAGGTATGAATCGGCTAGGGGTTTTTGAATAATACAAATAATATAGATAGTCCTTTTTTGTGTTTCCTACTTCTAATGATCTATTTTTACAAATGTTTACTATGATGGATCAATGCAAATAACTGGGTGACATAAATGAAAAGAAAATGATGAATAATATAGATGGTAAAATATGCATAATATTTGCAAACAATGAAAAATGTGAAATTATTTGTCAATAAAATCTTTTTAAAATTATACGGATTCTGAATATTGAAGATTAAAATATGATGTAAGCTTTTCCAGCCTGATTATGGTAGGAAGGAATTGAAGCTAGGTAAAGTTAAAATTACAAAAACTAAATTTTAGAAGTGTATTCTCAAATGTCAGAAAGTAGCTATCAAATTTATACTTTGTAATTTTAACTATACCTGGCTTCAATTATTTCCTACTATTAACCATTCTTTGGTAAATGGTAATGATTTTTATATTATTTATATTTAATTAATGAATTCCTATCTCTAAATTATCAAAAAGAGATGTTGCTATGTATTTTTCATAATTTTAAATCAGCTATATGACATCATGATATGATATGTATATATACATGTATATATCATCAAAGCAATATAGTCATCTTGTTCTACAATCTATATTATAATATTGTAAGTACTTACTTTTATATCTTAAATATACTTTTATACTTTAATATCTAATTTATAAATCATAAAAATACGTGATATATAACATTGCTAACTTTCTATGGCCACATCAAGATTTGATTACATTCTAATTTAATTTAATTGATAATTTTCTAATAACAGATTCGTTAATTTGATTTAAATTTCTGTTTAAGAAAAATTGGTTTTCGTAACAGTTGTTTTATAAACCACCATCACATTAAATATTAATAAATTCAGTATAAAACGTGACTTCTATGTAGTATAATATAATATATATGAAGACAGCCATACAGTAGTTAGAAATGTACCTAATACTAGAAGGCTTATTATAGGTATCTATTCATATGGGGTTAGTTAAATATAGGTAATTGGTTTTGGATTAATTTGTAATTATAGATAATTGAATACGAACCTACTCTAAATCCTTTCCAAAATTAAATTAAACAACGGACCCAAGAATTTTTCATTCTTTATTGTACTCTCGAATATCGATCAAAATTTATTTTTATTTTTCCAATCCCGATTTAAATCTTTTGTTTTTTATCAACATATTTAACATTTATTTTTATAACGATTGACTAAAAGTAAAAATATGAATTCCAAGAAATAAACCGTGTGTATGGTCAACGGAATGCTTACATATATAGACACGTAGTTGTATATTATGTTCAATTCATATACATACATACATACATACATACATACATACATACGTACATACATGCATACATACATACAAACATATATACATATATACATACATACATACATGCATACATATATACATACATATATACAAACATATATACATATATACATACATTTGAGATACCTATGATAAATAATAATACATAGATTTTAAAACAAGGAATACAAATTCACTCAATACTAATTATTCAACATTTGAATCATTTACATTATTACTCAGCCATTCACAGCCACAAAACATTTTGTGGCTCGTTGTATTGTATTAGGTAGGTACTTTGAGTTTGCAATATTGATGTCAGTTCTTTGTACTAAAAGTCTGAATTGAAAATAATATTCATCTTCTACGATAATATGCGCAGATGACAAGTACGTTTAAAAATGTGTTCAAAAATCATACTGTCCTTCAGAACATTTTAAATTTTAATGTTTCAAAGTAGCCTGAGATGTGAAAGCGTAATATCAATTTTAAACAGTTTATTTGTTTTTGTTTTTGTTTATTTTTTAGTTAAAAATTATTAACACAGCAGTCACCGTCATACGTGTGGAAATTCCTTCTCTTATTTTATTTTATTTGTTGTTTTTATTCTAATTATACATTGAGTAAATGCAATGCAATTAGTTCGGGTTTTGGACACCTTCATTGAACCACGACCCGCGTCTATCGGGGACGTCAAGGATTTACTTTCGGTGTACAACAGCTTCCAAGCGACAACCTGATGGTGACCCTTAACCGAATCCAAATTTAATTAACCTTTTGCACGGCAAAATAACTTAATATGTATAAAATTAAGTAAGGACGTTATCTACTCAATGTATTAACGTTTATTGCACTACTGCTTTAATCGCAATTATTCGTAAATTACGGTCTGATATTTAAATCCATCAAGCATTCATTTCAGGGTTTATCCGTAATTTGTATTACGATCGCTCTGTAATAACACACAGTATGTAGATTATTAAAAGTACAATTTAGCAACATAATTAAAATTGTGTAATATATACGATAATATAAACTGTTTTTATTTCTTTTTTTAATTTAATATGTTTAAGAGTTACTGTAACCCATATTTTTTTAGTTATTTAAAAACATTTTAAATACTTTTAGAAAAAAGTATAATACTATGAAAAATATTAAATACAAACAAATATGTTAAACATTAAACTCACGAAGAACTAAGAAATTCTGTATAAAGCATATAATATTATATAACAGGTACCTTCAAAACTTAAAAGAAGAATCACGCTGATAATAATATAATAATAAATAACTATAATAGATATTATATAGGTATATCTTATTAAGTTATAAATGTTTTTTAGAAGTGTTATTTTTTTTATTTTACATAGATTTAGACCTAACGTATAAAGAAGCTAAGATGGGCCAGCAAATGTAAAAAAATAAATATTTATTACTTAATATTAATCATTAAAATATTAAAATATCTATTATAAATACACATATCGATACACTATAGACCATAGTACGTATTTAAAACATTCATCGGGATAGGAAGCAAGACTGGAAGTTAACAAATGCATGTACTAAATAATTTAAGTATATGTAAGTTAAAATTAGTTGCTGATAAACCATAATTATTCATATATACCTAATAATTTCGTTAAATGATTAAACTAAATGTCTAAATCATAGGCACAGCTGTTGAATTAATAATGTTGGTAAATAAATATTACAGTGATCTATTAAAATATGTCTACCTATATAGATATATACAATAGTACTCGATTTAATTACCTAATCCAATTCTTAAATGGAAGAAATGTGTATTGACAAATGCAAAACATAATATTGATTTTATTTTAGCAAACATAACGTCTTAAATCTGTTACGAATTGTGTATATCATTAAAATTTATCGTTCATATTTTTTTTGTACTGACACTGATGCTGACTGTTGATGTAAAAATTATATACC